CGTTTTTGTAAATAACCTTGGCTGCAAGGTCGACCCTGCCTTGAATGAGTACCAGGTAAAATCAAAGGAAAGTAAAAGCGGCGGCGTGATGTTCACCTCATTATTCACCGATGGACGATTGGTGTATTTAAAAAAAATATATATATATATATATATATACTCCTGTAAGAGTGTAAGTTTTCTATGTATTTAGTTGGGCATACAGACCCGCTTCGTTAAGTGTGTGCGTGTGTGTGTGTGTGTGTGTGTGTGTGAGAGTAAACGTTGTGTGTGTGTGAGAGAGTAAACGTTTTGTGTGTGTGTGTGTCAGTGAACGTATTGTGTGTGTATGTGTGTATAAGAGAGAGAGAGAGAGAGAGAGAGAGAGAGAGAGAGAGAGAGAGAGAGAACATATTGTGTGTATGTGAGTGAACGTATTGTGTATGTATGAGGGTTTTGTGTATTTAATTAGTGTCATCTCGTATGACTCTAAATTCAGCCTAACCATTGGCTTTACTGTCATCTCATATGATGTCCGCTTATCCATTGGCTTTCCTGTCATCTCATATGATGTCCACTTATCCATTACCTTCACTGTCATCTCATATGATGTCCACTTATCCATTTGCTTTTATGTCATCTCATATGATGTCCACTTATCCATTTGCTTTACTGTCATCTCATATGATGTCCACTTATCCATTTGCTTTTATGTCATCTCATATGATGTCTACTTATCCATTAACTTCTCTGTCATCTCATATGATGTCCACTTATTGAGTGTCTCATATGTCATCTCATACGATGTCAACTCTCAGAGTGGCTTCTATGTAATCTCATGTCACCTTAGCCTACGCGAAGGTCGGTAAGACAGGCTGTGCCACACCGCCAGGTTTCAACTTCAGGACGACTACGAAGTTTACAAAATGCCGTTTCTTCTCATCACCTTGTACCTTGCGGTGTCAGGGTGAAGTATAGTTTGCGGGAAAATGCGTATTTGTGCTCTTCGTAAATGGGAATTTCCAGGAAATTTGTTATTCCCTATGTTTGATTTGTCGGCTCTGTGGCTAAGTCGATGCGAACGCTTCGTAATGCCGGGGTGCCGGGTTCGATCCCAGCTGCGGGCTATGCGCCTTGCATTGGTGTCGACAGTGGTATCAGGGAACCGACCGTCAGACGCAATGACAAACTACTGGACGTAAATTTGCCTAGAGAAACCACACAACAGCTAGGGGCTGCTGTGGTTGGTTCTGCAACGTCCTGTAAAGGATACGCAACTAACCATAACCATAACCATCCCGGCTGTAGTCGGGGGCCCTAACATAACCTACCGGTTGAACGGGGTTTCTGGGTCCTCTCTCCGGGTGTTCCTCATCAGCATGGTGGCACTTTGTGTCACCTGGTGTTTATCGCTTAGTGGATGTCCTAGTGGGGTTTAATCTCATTCATTCACCTGTTGGTTTGTAGTGAAATCTAGAACTGCCACTACCCCTATATTTAGTCGAATGTTATCGTTTCTGACCACTTCTTGTTTTATTCATCTTTTTCGCTTTCACCAGCTGTAAACGCTGGCGGAAAGTTCTGGTTGTTCGTCCACTTCAAAACTGCAGTCCTGTTCCAGAACTTGAGTGATGCGTGTGCATCCGTGTGACATACTGATTAATTTGTATGCAAACTGTTGGTTCCTTGCCTCTCAGGCAGATGCACTTTGATTTTGAAGGAAGCTTCCAATTAGTGGACTCTTACGACATGCTTCTGGGTAGACAGTGGGTCTATTCTTGTTTTCCCTATAATAGGGACCCGTAACCCACACGGGTAACTTCTTATTATATTAAGAGCTCATGATTCTCATTTCAGTTGTAATTTTTTCTTTTCTCTTTTTTCTTTCTGTCACAGTCGAGGTCTGGCATTGGTAGCACAGGGTTGGCAAGACTATTGTGTCATAAGGTGCTCTTCTGGTATCTACTGATACAGAGCTACTGGAAGACTTTTATTTGAGGGGAAAACTTATACAGACTTAATAATATCACATATGGCGCTATTAACATATTGACTTTTCGCTAGATACAGAGAAAGGGAGACAGAGCACGTGTAGGAATGACCCGGGTAAAATTATATCAGTTCTGGATTCATTCATTTATCCTATTCTCTTGATAACGTGTAACAGTGCTCAACCTTATGTTCTCTTCCTCAATTCTTCATTTGTTAAAATAACTTACACAAGGTAACATGGAAGAATTAGAAGGAGAACTAGGAGGAGAAGAAAACGAATAGGAAGAAGAAAAATAGGAGCAGGAGAGAAGCAAGATGATAAGGAGGAAGAGGAGAAGGAGAAAGAGGAGAAGAAGAAAGAGGAGGGGAAAAGGTGGTAAGTGTGTGCACATACCCGTTCCAGCAAATAGTCCTAGCCCTCTCAATAACATTTGTAAATTCCTCATTGGTTTTGTAGCCCACATCAAAACCCTGCATGGCAACGAAACAATATTACGGTGATTTATCCCACTTGCGTGTGTCGTGTCTTTAAACTACCAGCACATGCGGCCACGTTCGCAGGTGCTCGTACATACACACATCGCATACACTCGAGGATGGCGGTGATGATGATGATGATGAGGAGGAGGATAGCAATGACGGAGACTATAATTATTGTCATTAACCGCGGGACGCTGATGTATATGTTGAAAGGAGGATCTGAGCACCTATGGACGTGTCCGGAGTGCCGTGAAGATAACCCAACTCATAACTTGTAACTCAATTATAATTGCGATGATGGTTTTGATAGGGACGGTATGGTGATGATGCGGATGAGGATGATGATGACTGAAGAAATGATAATGACAATAGCGGTGGTGATGATGATGGAGATAACAGCGATGTTAATGTTGATAACGATGATGGTGATGATAGCGATGGTGATGATGATAGCTATGATGATGATGATGCTGATGATGCTGATGATGATGATGAAGATAATGAAGTTAGCGATGATGCTAGTAGTAACGATGTCGATCATGATAGCAGTGATGTCGCTGATATTAGCGATGGTGATGATGACAGCTAAGATGATGATGATGGTGATGATGATAAAGATAGCAGCAACCCACCATCCAGCCTTCAGGAATCCCGGTTGCCACGGACGCCGTGGCAGTCTTGGCATCCTCGGCAAACTTGTTGCCAGTGATGAAGTCGGACGGCAGGTGCAGCTGGACATTTTTTTGTTTGGCTTTCTCCACCAACTTGTTCACGAACACGGCGCCTTCCTCGTCGAACGCCGAGTTTCCAATCTGGCAACAATGAGTTTGTCAGTTTGGGCCCGAATCTGATTATTTATCTCTTTACTGAAATCATCTAATTGGTTTTTTTTTTTTTAAACAAACATAAATTATAATATTTTATAGTTTTTTTTTTTAACTCTTTTTTTCATTTTCTTTTAGGGCCACTACTTCGTTTAATTTGTCATCGCCATCGCCATCTTCTTGTCCCTATCATGGGTTCGTAGACAAAGGGCTGGAGTCCCATGGGAAATTGTGTCTGGCAGGAATCAGTGTCATTTGTGTACCAGGGCACTCTGGGATAAGAGGGAATGAACGAGCTGATTGGTTTGCTCGCAGGGCAACTGTAGGTACAGGACAAGAAGTGAGCCGAGTGGATGTTCTCAAATGCTTTTTAAGGAGGTAGAACGAGTAAATCATTTAGGAGACCACGGTGAGTCAACAACGTTCAAAAGACTACACGAACTTCAGGTCAAAAGGGGTTTAGCCAGATATGAACACCATACAGCAAACCAAAGAGTTAGTTGCGTATCCTTTACAGGACGTTGCAGAACCAACCCCAACAGCCCCTGGCTGTTGTGTGGTTTTTCTAGGCAAATTTACTTCTAGTAGTTTGCCATTGCTCTCTGAACGGTCGGCTTTCTTGATACCACTGTCGAAACCAACGTAAGACACATAGCCCGCAGCTGGGATCGAACCCGGCATCCCGGCATTACGAAGCGTTCGCATCGACTTAGTCACAGAGCGGACATAGCAAACCAAAGAGGAATAGTAAATCGTAAAGGACAGGTGTTATCAGTCGCCACACTTTAAAGGACATAATCGCTTATGGACTTGTCCGAAGTGCAGTGGGGATAATTTGTGGACTAACTAACTTACTAACTTAACTTACTAACTTAACTTACTAACTTGACTTACTAACTTGACTTACTAACTTAACTAACTAACTGACAAACTGGCTGACTGACTGACTAACTAACTTACTAACTTAACTATCTAAATGACAAACTGACTGACTGACTGATTGACTAACTAACCAACCGAGTAACTAACTAACCAACGAACAAACTAACTAGCTAACAAACTAACCAAACAACTAACTAGCTAACAGACTAACTAACTAGCTAGCTATCTTACTAATTAACTAGCTGCAGATATCATCAGCCTGCATTCATCTCTCTGGTTGGTCCTCTCTTTCACGTTGGTGACAACAAATGTTTATAGGTTTGTTATGATACTATCTCCCCATCGTCTTCTATGTCTCCCTCGTGGTCTATACGACCATTCAGATCCCTTGTGTACACATCTTGTAACCTCGTAGTCATCTGACTTTCTGTCAATATGCCCCAGCCATTTCAGTCTATCAACCCTCAAGATGCCAGTGATCAACTGTGATTTAAATAATTATTAATTTAATACAATAATAATAATTGTTATAAGTGCTCACTAAACTCAAGTTTAATCCCACCAATCGGATGTATTCTTTGTGTCTGCGGTCTTGACCTGATAAAGACATGCTAGGACAACACGTCGGTGTTGACTAACCTCCATGCCGTACATCACCTTGAGGAACGTGAAGGCCATGGCGTCGGCGATGATCATCTCATCCACTCTCTCCAGAAGATTCTCGATCAGGCGAGCCTTGTCGGAGACCTTCTGCCTGTGGAGGTTCAGAAACATGGCGATCAGTTACAGAAATGTCTCGATGAGTTGGTTCCTTAACAAACTGTTTCTCGGAATTGATTAAAAGGCTGCCTGTGCTGGCTCCTGTGATCAAAGGGGAGAGGGCATACACAAATGTCCCTTCACTAGCATGTTATATAAAAGGGGGCTAATTAAGGGCTGCTTGAAATCGGACGTGTTGGGCTGAATGAACCAGATATCTCAGCCTAGCTGTAAATCGCAACACAACGCGTCAACCGCTTCTTTAAGAGCGAACGCAGAAGAAAATGAACGAAGAAACGATGCTTTGGAATGTGTTGTGGCAAATAGTGTGACTAAGATAAATACAGTTGTCCTTAGGTATACGTTCGCTTTGGTATACGTACACCCTGGCACGCGTCCTGATTAATGCTAAAACTGTTGCTTGGTATACGACCGTTGTTTAGAATACGACCAGCACGCTAAAACGTGTAAAAGCAAAAATTAGTCACGACACCGCACGCTATCTTTGCTTACAATTCTCGAGTCAAATCAGGGAATAGATACCCAAAGACTTTGCTGAGAAGCATCACACCAACGAAGCCCAAACAAGCCGTGAGAGCATTGTCTGAAATGACCAGACAGGGTCACGTTTCCGAAATATCCTGAGAAGAAGGCAGAAGCAACGTTCTTCGGGCAGATTTTCAGTAAATGCCAAATTAGATGAGCCTCAACCAGGTCCTAGTAGTGAAAAGAGGCAGAAAAAATTCCAGATACCTGAGGTGTTACTGGAAAGGGTACTCGCCTTCCACACAATAACATCTCCTTTTTTCTTCTGCGTACCATCTTAGTACCATCTTCTCAGGATGGTAAGATGAGGTTAAACGTTCAGTTATTTCACCTAAATGATTGTGTATTTGTATATTCTGTGATTAGACCGTATATAAACTGTTTTATACAAACCCATCAATGTATTATATGCCAACAACAATATGGGTTTGTTTTTTACGGCAACGGGTTTATCATTCTCCCTTTATCTCTTTGGGAGCATTCGTTCGGTGTTTGTCTTGTACGGATGTGAATCATGGACAGATAGTAAATTAGTGAAAACTTATTTGGAAGCTGCGGAAATGTGGGTTTTTTTTTATAGACGAATGATAAGCATACCCTGGACAGATAAAAAGAGCAATGAAGACGTCTTAAAAAAAAAAAAAAAAACCCACAAAGAGAACTGATTGCCCACATCAGAAAGAGACATTTCATATTGTTTGGTCATGTAATGAGAAGGGGAAAACTGGAGTACATCGTGGCGGTAGGAAAGTCGGAGGGGGTGAGAGGCAGATGGAGACCAAGAGAACAGATGCTGGACAGTTTGACATTCTGGCATGTAGGATCATCTGTATCAGAGCTAAGGTTGTGGATTGACATGACTACCAACGTCACACGGCATGGATTATAAGAAGTATGTCAAGGATCACGAACGGATTAAGCACGTATCCCGAGGTACCCCACTCTGCCTTGATAATAATGGGGTCAAAAACTGGGCATCGAGGTACCCCACTCTGCTTTGATAATAATGGGGTCAAAAACTGGGCATCGAGGTACCCTCTGCTTTGATAATAATGGGGTCAAAAACTGAGCACCGCAGCGCTGTTATAGTTGGCCCTTCCAACCACTCACCTACACACAGTTGTTGCATTTCCTGTATCATGTATATTGAGTTCATTTACCAGTTGAAAAAAAAAATATATAAACTAGGGCACACATACAAACACAGATAGATATATAGAGGGAGCAAGAGAGGAAAGAGGGAAAATGAAAGGTGGGTGGATAAGGAGTAACAGAGATAAGGACGGAGTTCCCTATACACAGAAATGAGAAAGCGTGAGAGGGGAAGGGTGGAGAGAGAGATGGAGACGGAGGGAGAGACGGAGTGAGAGAGTAAGTCAGAGACAGTCCGAAAAAGTTTTATATATATATATATATATATATATATATATATATATATATATATATATATATATATATATATATATATATATATACATACACACACACACACATAGAGAGAGGGAGAGAGAGAGAGAGAGAGAGAGAGAGAGAGCGAGAATGGGAAAAAAAAGGGGAGGGGGTGAGCTTTATGTTTTATTTTATTAGCTTTTTCCAAATAATCGTTTGTTATTCTGATTGACCAAGGTATTAACAATATTCATCATATAAACCACATCTTTAGTGCCCCCAAGCCCTTTCTAGTCAGCTCAGCCATATCCCAGATTCGTTGTCAGGCAGCAGATCAGGTCAGATGCGACACAAAATGTCGACCATGTTTTCAGATATTCAACTTTAGTGACTTATTCCATAACTGATGAGACAGATAAAGGTTGGTCTTTTTATAATGACGGAGTCTTACGATGAATCATAGGAACCATCCAAAAGGCTAACAGTGCAAAATGGAGAGTGAGAAGCAACCACGAGATTCATCATCACCATCATCATAAACCACTTCTGCCGTTAAGCGTCGTGGGGAGGAATAATTTGCGTTCCAGTGCACGTTGGCTGCCACTGGCTATTGTCATGCCGTGAAGGCGTAGAGTGTTTTTAATGTTGTCGATTCATGTTTTCCGCGGCCGCCTTTTTGCTCTTGTAGTTGGTCTTCTGAGATGTAGTGCTTGTGATGGTATTTGATCTTGCTGCATTCTAACAAGATGGCCAAACCACTTGATCTGCTGTTTCTCGATGAATCTAGTACAAGGTGTCGTTCCCACAATTTGCCTGATAGTTTCATTATTCACTCGATCTCATATGGTTAGGTTGGCTGCATTTCTCAGGCACCTCATCTCGCAGGTGGTAATTTTGCGTATATGGGCTTTAGATAGTGTCCATGTTTGGCACTGGTAGCTTAATGTTGGAATAAATATGCTATTAATAATCTGTCTCTTTGCACTCATAGTTATGCTTGGATGTCTTAATAATGGTGACAATTGGTATATAAGTGCACTTGCTTTCTGACATCTGGTTTCTATTTCTCTGTCAATTCTACCATCTTCTGTGATCATACTTCCTAGATATTTAAACGCTCTAACTTGATTCAGGGCAGAACCATTCAGTGGTATGTGTAGTGGGGCAGAATGTCTACTAACTTGCATTGTTTCGGTTTTGTTTACATTACGAGATTCATAATCTGTTAAAATCACCATTGATCGCTGGCATCATGAGGGTTAATAGACTAAAATAGAGAATGGCAGAGATGAAAGAGGTAAAAACTGGCTAAACAATGGAGTTAATTAAGGGTAGACAACAACTGGGCAGACAAAGAAAACAGCGGAGAGACAATATACAGGCAGACATATAAACACTTGGAGTCAAATTTGAATGTAAACATGCCTAGTCAAACCACAAACCACAGATGCTAGGGATATTATTGAAATGTCCTGTAAAATATATGACAGTAATTTGTTTAACTCTTTTTTTTTAATAGCTATGCATTAGATACAAGTCACACAACTTATCCGCCAGACATTGTGTGTGTGTGTGTGTTTTGTCCATCAAGATGATGATGACCACTCTTTTTCATCAAGTATGAGAACGAAGATGACCGATGAGGCCGATGCGGGCCTGAAAAGTTCTTGGATAGGACAGGGAATGAGCGTTGTGCCAGGGAGGGGATCTCCTGCAGTCACATTGCTGTCCATCGTTTTCTTAATAAGTCTTGCTTTCTGTTTGCTTCACATGTAGCCGCGCCCTTGTGTAGAGCTGCACGCAATGCATTTCGGCCTTGAGAGGCAGCCTCCCAATTGGTGTCATTCATCCCAAATACTTTGAGTGAAGACCTCCGCCAGACATTAGATACAAGTTACAAAACTTACCCGCCACAGATCAAATCGAAGTTACACATTTTACCTGCCACAAATCAGATGAAAGTTACACACACACACCTTACTCGCCAGAGAACATATAAAAGTTACCCAACTTACCCGCCGAGAATGACCAGGAAGGGCCTAACCGCATTCTGCAGTGCGCTGATGTAGAAATCCAGCTCCTTCTTCAAGAGAAAGCCGGCAGCCCTCTGCGGCAGGTTGATGCCGACCATGGAACTGTAATATACACCAGGTGTGATGACGTCAGCCACAACTGAGGACTGTTTGTGTGCGTGTGTGTGTGAACTGTATGTGATAGTGTTTAGATAGATAGATAGATAGATAGATAGTAGTGATAGAGAGAGAGAGAGAGAAGATAGAGATAGATAGATAGATAGATAGATAGATAGATAGATAGATAGATAGAGATAGATAGATAGATAGATAGATAGATAGATAGATATAGATAGATAGATAGATAGATAGATAGATAGATAGAGATAGATAGATAGATAGATAGATAGATAGATAGATAGATAGATAGATAGATAGATAGATAGAGATAGATAGATAGATAGATAGATAGATAGATAGATAGATAGATAGATAGAGATAGATAGATAGAGATAGATAGAGAGAATAGATAGAGATAGAGAGATAGAGAAGATAGATAGATAGATAGAGAGACTAGATAGCAGAGAGATTAGAGAGAGAGAGAGAGAGTAAAGAGACTTTTGACTTGATGTTTTTTTAAAATGTTTTCTTCTTCTTCTCCCAACTTTTTTCTTTTTAGCCCTTTTGAAAGTGACAGGCTTGAGTGCGATTCAAAGCAAGACTTTTTCTTCTTGGGTAGTATCAGAGGACAATTCTGACCTGTGCAGGTAGGGTTGAACAGGGAGAAATCCTGGATGGCTCACGACAAGTGGCTGGAGAACATTGTGTGAGGGAGGAGTAGGTCAATCAGAGGACAAGTCTGAGTGTAGGGTTATGATCCACTGGGTGGGAGTGCAGACGGGCCAGCGGGTGCTACGGGGGATAAAGTCCAACAGGTGATTCACGACAATTCACGCCCAGGTGATCTGATTATCTATACAGATGGCTCGGTGGTTAGAGGAAAGAGAAGTGCCTGGGGGTTCGTAGCGAAAGCCAATGGAAAATCTTTAGTGCAAGACAGCCTAGCATACGACACCACAACATCTAGCATGAGAATGGAGGTGAAGGTGGTCACTGCAGCTCTCCGGTGGCTAGAGAACAAAATGCATACACATGTAATTGTAACAGATTCTGAAAGTATGCTGAGAAAGGTAAAGACAGGGATGCTTCGAGCAGAGTGGCAAGCTTCACTGGAAAGATCACGGGTGGTGAGCTTACTTTGTATCTTTTCTCCTGGTTATGCCGGCGTGGTGGGTAATGAACAGGCAGACAGATTGACTGGATCTGCACCACTGGATGGTGAACTGATGCATGACAGGGCAGATGTTGTCAAGGCTCTTTGGGAACAAGTAAAGGAATCAGTAGAGAAACAAGATTATCATAGCCTGAAGAGAATGAGGCACCTGAGTGTAACCAGAGGGTTTGGCAGACTCGCTACAATCAGAGGAAGGGCGAGACGAACCTATAATGAGATTCTGACCGGTACCATTAGTATTGGAACTTTGCGCTGGTTGCTGAAGATGAGGACGGAGCACGCATGGGAATGCCCCGAGTGCTGTGATGTCAATTCTTGACCTAACTAAACTAACTTTCTTCTTCTTCCCCCAGTTTCTTTCTTATTCGCCCTCTTGAAGGTGACAGGCTGGATTGTGGTTTTCTTCTTCAAGGCTTCTTCCTTTTTTTCTTCTTCTTCTTTTTCCTCTTCTTCTTCCTCTTCTTCTTCTTCTTCTTCTTTTTCTTCTTTTTCTTCTTCTTCTTCTTCTTCTTCTTCTTCTTCTTCTTCTTCTTCTTCTTCTTCTTCTTCTTCTTCTTCTTCTTCTTCTTCTTCTTCTTCGATCCCTCTTCAGAACATTTGTTGAGCTGAGAGTCCCAAGGTATTGTGTCCGCCTCGAGTGCTGGAGGTCCTGGGTTCAAGCTCCGGTGAAGGCTGGTAATTCTTTACGTGGACTTTTAGTAATTTCTCCCGGTCTCTGGGTAGTAAGATCAGACACCCGTGTGTATTTTTGCGCACGTAAAAAAAAATCCATTGACAGTTGGGAATCGAAAAGAGTAGCATAATGGCGCTGCCCGGGCAAATAATTGGAATTAAAAATCTACCCAAAGTATTTCAGGATCCTCGCCGATGCAACGAAGTTCGTGCATTGCACTGGAGATTCTTCAGTCTCAGGCTTGAGTTAGAAGTAGGAGGGAGCACTTAGGGGTTACACCCGTGTGCCATGATGTTGATCCATTGAATAAACATAAACATTCAGAACACTGATATCATGAAGCCAGTAGCCAATGAACGCTGTCAAGCAGACCATTTCTCCTCGTGTCTATCCTTGTGATAGACAATGCTACGATATCTGCGCCCCTCGGCCCAACACGTACAGTTTAAACAAGAATTTTGATTTATAAGTGGAGTTTAGATTTTTTCTTCTTCATCTGCGCATTTTGACCCAAACATCAACACCAATTATGAGTTATGAATTGAGTTCCCTGGGCGGCACTACAGACACGTGCTCAGACCCCCAACTCACTTACGCCTCTCTCTCCCTTCAGCGCATGAATCAGCGTTTCACGGTGTCATCTACTTTTTTTTTTTACCACGGCCGGACTCCAACTGAATGAGGGCAGTGTGACTGACCATGTCCTTCTGTATATAAATAGAAACCATGGCCAGCTCCAGATTTAAGGACATACAGCTGAAACTGGAATTCCCGTTTTTGTGAGGCTGGCGCGGCCGATCGGTGTTAACAATTGTTATCGAGTAGATTTATACACATACTGAACTACAATTTAATTATTTTGCGACATGTTTTTTTGAATGAATTATTATTTTGAAGATAAATAAATGGGCTATAAGAAAATATTTATCTTCAAAATGATAATTCATTCAAAAACACATGTTGCAAATTAATTAAACTGTAGTTCAATTTGTGCATAAATCTACTCAGCTTTACGGTCTTATATGTGGAGCTGCAGTGGGTTGACAAACCTTTCATCCGTACGGTGGACCTCTCATGCCAGGCTGTACTCACAAATCTCATTCTTAGCAGTGTTGTGGATGCACTGCCTCCAAAGTCATCTGTTGGTCATCTATCTCGCCCTTTCTCTCTCTCTCTCTCTCTCTCTCTCTCTCTCTCTCTCTCTCTCTCTCTCTCTCTTTCTGTGTGTGTGTTTGTGTGTGTGTGTATGAATGTGTGTATGCACATGTTGTGAGCAAGTCTTAATCAAACAATAAGTGCGCCGTAGGGTCAAACGCTCGCCTGCGGATCCGAAGGTCGTGGGTTCAGATCCTAACAGTGGGGGAATTTTTCGTAAGTGACTTCGGCTCCCAGGTCGACCCAGCGTTACATGGGTACCCTGTAAAGACCTAGGAGGTAAAGGCAGTCAGCGAGATGTTGACCACATTACCCACAAAGTGACGAAGTGCCTATAAAATATAAATCTAACCATGACCGTCTCCAGTATATTGGAGAAGGCGTTGGTCTAGCCCAGTACGACCAATAAGCCAGAAGGTGTTGAAAAGAGTCGTTGATTAAACAATAATCAAAAATGTTTTAATCACGTCCAGACAATTTACAAACACAACCGCGCCGGGTTCTCAGAGTAATGCTTCACCTGTACGGCTCGTGTGCCGTCCCAAAGGCGTCATTGATGAACACGTCGCCCAGTTTCGACAGCGACGCTCGGAAGGTGGCTATCGAATGCTCATCTGCTTTGATCTGGAAAAAAAAAAGAACATGCCATGAGTAAATTTATTAAAGCACGTTTTTTTTCTCTTTCTTCATTCGCCTTTAAAAGGGCATTTGTCAAGTTGTGTTGTTACTCACAGCCAGGATGTGATATTTGCGCTCTTAACGGTTCAACACCAAAAACATCAGATTTAGAAACACGTTAATTAGTCGATTTTCACAACATACGTGTTAATGTTCAGTGGGTCTGTATTCCTCCCCTCCCCTCCTCTCTCTCTCTCTCTCTCTCTCTCTCTCTCTCTCTCACACACAAACACACACACACAACCACAACCACACACACACACGCTGCAACAGAGCCACAGAACCCACTTGGGAAATGCAGTTATTAAAACTATTCTTCCCTGCCCTGTATATTTCACTGGAGCATGGGCGTCCAGCTGATTAAGGCACTTCAACAATGCCATCTTGCGCAGCTCCCATCATCTATCTATTCCATGCATGAGGTTTAAAGATCCGATCTGTGCTTGAGAAAATCACAGTTGCTTTCACTGAGGTCAGCAACCCGAATCCACTTCAAAGTTGTCATCCAGGGACTGCACACAGTGCAGAAAGTGCAGCCTATCTCCCACGCGCAAGTGCAGCCTATGTCCCACGTGAGAGTGCAGCCTATGTCCCACGTGAGAGTGCAGCATGTGTCACACGTGAGAGTGCAGCCTAACTCTCACTTGAGAGTGCAGCCTATCACCCACGTGAGAGTGCAGCATGTGTCCGACGTGAGAGTGCAGCCTATCTCCCACGTGAGAGCGCAGCCTATCTCCCACGTGAGAGTGCAGCCTATCTCCCACGTGAGAGTGCAGCATGTGTTCCACGTGAGAGTGCAGCTTATCTCCCACGTGAGAGTGCAGCATATGTCCCACGTGAGAGTGCAGCCTATGTCCCACTTGAGGGTGCAGCCTATGTCCCACGTGAGAGTGCAGCCTATGTCCCACGTGAGAGTGCAGCCTATGTCCCACTTGAGAGTGCAGCCTATCTCCCACGTGAGAGTGCAGCCTATGTCCCGCGTGAGAGTGCAGCCTATCTTCCACGTTATCTCCCACGTGAGAGTGCAGCCTCCCACGTGAGAGTGCAGCCTATCTCCCACGTGAGATTGCAGCCTATCTCCCTCGTGAAAGTGTAGCCTATCTCCCACATGAGAGTGCAGCCTATCTCCCACGTGAGAGTGCAGCCTATGTCCCACGTGAGAGTGCAGCCTATGCCCCACTTGAGAGTGCATTTGCGCTAACGGTTCAACACCACACTTGAGAGTGCAACATGTGTCCTAGAGAGTGCAGCATGAGTCCCACGAGAGAGTGCAGTCTATGTCCCACGTGAGAGTGCAGCATGTGTCCCATGAGAGAGTGCAGCCTATATCCCACGTGAGAGTGCAGCCTATGTCCCACGTGAGAGTGCAGCATGTGTCCCACGTGAGAGTGCAGCATGTGTCCCACGAGACAGTGCAAGCTATGTCCCACGTGAGAGTGCAGCCTATGTCCCACTTGAGAGTGCAGCATGTGTCCTACGTGAGAGTGCAGCATGAGTCCCACGAGAGAGTGCAGTCTATGTCCCACGTGAGAGTGCAGCATGTGTCCCATGAGAGAGTGCAGCCTATGTCCCACGTGAGAGTGCAGCCTATGTCCCGCGTGAGAGTGCAGCCTATCTCCCACGTGAGAGTGCAGCCTATTTCCCACGTGAGAGTGCAGCCTATGTCCCGCGTGAGAGTGCAGCCTATCTCCCACGTGAGAGTGCAGCCTATGTCCCGCGTGAGAGTGCAGCCTATCTCCCACGTGAGAGTGCAGCCTATCTCCCACGTGAGAGTGCAGCCTATCTCCCACGTGAAAGTGTAGCCTATCTCCCACATGAGAGTGCAGCCTATCTCCCACGTGAGAGTGCAGCCTATGTCCCACGTGAGAGTGCAGCCTATGTCCCACTTGAGAGTGCAGCCCATGTCCCACGTGAGAGTGCAGCATGTGTCCCACGTGAGAGTGCAGCCTATGTCCCACGAGAGAGTGCAGCCTATGTCCCACGTGAGAGTGCAGCATGTGTCCTACGTGAGAGTGCAGCATGAGTCCCACGAGGGAGTGCAGTCTATGTCCCACGTGAGAGTGCAGCATGTGTCCCATGAGAGAGTGCAGCCTATATCCCACGTGAGAGTGCAGCCTATGTCCCACGTGAGAGTGCAGCATGTGTCCCACGTGAGAGTGCAGCATGTGTCCCACGAGACAGTGCAAGCTATGTCCCACGTAAGAGTGCAGCCTATGTCCCACGAGACAGTGCAGCCTACGTCCCACGGGAGAGTGCAGCATGTGTCCCATGTGAGAGTACAGCATGTGTCCCACGTGAGAGTGCAGCCTATCTCCCACGTGAGAGTGTAGCATATGTCCCACGAGAGAGTACAGCCTATGTCCCACGTGAGAGTGCAGCCTATGTCCCACGAGAGAGTGCAGCCTATGTCCCAAGTGAGAGTGCAGCCTGTCTCCCACGTGAGAGTGCAGCCTATGTCCCACGAGAGAGTACAGCCTAGGTCCCACGAGAGTGCAGCCTATGTCCCACGTGAGAGTGCAGCCTATCTCCCACGAGAGAGTGCAGCCTATGTCCCACGAGACAGTGCAGCCTTTGTCCTGTGAGAGAGTGCAGCCTAAGTCCCACGCCTGCATGCAGCCTATAATATAAGCGACGTAGGCTGAGGCTGTGAGGTGGGGGCTGTCCTTAAAGAGGGGACGTTGGGATAAGTTTCTTCGTGTTGTGGGACCGTTAAGAGCACTCACATCGTGGAATATAGAACACGTAATACCGCCAGCCGGTAACAACAAGTAAAATACTACTTGTTGGTATCTGGTCATTAGGCATGACACCCCCGCAACATAGGACAGGCCCTGCGACACGTCGAGGCATGTATGGGAAGGGAAGTCAAGTTCTTTCTGGGCCGAAAAACGTTACTATAACCAATAACTTAGTCCTCCTGGGTAGTAATGTACAAATTATATGTTGCCCATACAGCAAGATCCCTCTTTCGGCCTGGCTTGTTTGCTCCTAAGGAAAGGTAAGACCGATACATTTGGAACAAAGCATAATGCGAAACCTGGCGTATCAGAAGAGCAGTGCCCTCTTCACCTGTCGGAGCTGCCCTCTTAGATAGGCAGCCAACCAAAACTAAGGACCCGGTTTTCCATGCCATAACATAACAATCTTCAGGTTGCCTGTCCCCTTTGCCTGTCTACTATCAGAGAACTCTAACTGGAATCTTCTGGAGGAAAGTGCCAGATTTCTTAACCGTTCTGACGGGCGTTTGTCTACTAACACATACGCTTGCACATAACTTAGAGGGACGTAGAAGACATAGACTGGAACTGGTTTTACAAACGTTAGTCTCCCCAAAACAAAGCCGGTCACGTTCCTTTTACAAGTTTTTTGGGCTGTTCTACCTTCCTGCAGGTTACGGGTGTGTCGATCTGTTGTTTGCTTTCTGGGTTGTCTTGCATTTACGCATTTTTTAAGAGAAAGAGAATGCCTGTGACATAGGTTTCATCACTCTCTAACGGGGTTTTGTGTTAGACCCAGTTTGTTGATGTTGTTGTAGTGTTAAAAGCGCTGGCGTGCTGAAATATACAATAAGCGTAAATCAACGGCATTGCTGGAAACCTCCATAACCTTTTGGCAAGGAAGCGTGGCTCAAAGTCGACCATCAGAAGTGAACTAGACTGAAGGTCGACGAATCAGAATTGAGCTAGTGTGCAACACTGTGTAAATCGAGAGACTAACGTTTGTATTACCACTGTGACGTATAAAACATACAGAGACAGCAAGTTAGAGGTCACTGCCAGTTACCACCTTGTTGCCTAGCGCATCCCGACCTTTGCCCTCTTCTTCCAGGTGAAAACGCAAGTTCTCCAGCAGTATCACGCTCCCGTGAGGTGGACTGATGCATACCTCCTCAACTTTGGCTCCTACACAGTCTTCCAGAAAGGTGACTTTCCTGGATGAGATCGATTGTGGTGGGGTAAAGGATGAAAGTGAAAAAGCATGATGAATGTATTGTTTTCGTTGTATATGTTGTGTGTAAAGTATCGCAACACTTTGTGTTTTATGTTTAATGTTCAGTTAAGAATCAACATCACAAGCACTTGAGACTGCCATAAGCTCTTCGGCTCTTTCTTCAGCAGCAAGGACAGAGTTCCAGTTCCAGTCGTAGCAACAGCAGTCTGATTGTATATTCGTCTCATCTTTCCCTTGATCGTCAACCAGATCCCCAGGTCACTACTCGTAATACCATTCTTTTCAGACTATGTGAGTTTATATATATATAGTTATATGGTGAAGCTCACTGATATACTTTTCGTTCGGTTTTAAATCTTACCTTGATATTTTCAGACTATGATGTTCACCTTCCCCCAAAGGGGCCTTACAACATTTAGGTTGTCATGCATCAATTCACCACCAAGTTCTACCTGCGACCACTGAATCGATGCGTGTTGCTTTTCACGAAGCATATCAGTCTCCACCATTCTCAACATGCTCTGCTAGTTGGTTACAATTACAATAAGGACATGTGTGCACAGCTCATTCTCAAGCTATCGAAAGACAGTAGTGACTGCCTCCACCTCCATTCTCAAACCAGATGTTGTGGTGTCATATGCCAGGCTCTGTTGCACTAAGCGACGTCTATTCACTTTTGCTAAGAACCCCCAATGAGCTTCGACTGCCTATCAAAGAGTCATCTTTGTAGATAATCAGATCAGCTAGAACGAGAATTGCCTTAAACCATTTGTTGAACTTCTAATTCTGCAGAGCCCGCTGACCAGTCCCTGCACCTACGGCCCAGTATGATCAGAATCCTACACAAGTCTGACTTTTGCTGGGACATTCTGACCCACTAATCCCCTAGCCCAATGGTATCGAGCCTCCACACATGTCTAATTGTGTCTTCAGCTTGAGCCATCCAAGACCTTACTCTTTTCAGTCTGTACCCTTAGCCCTGTCTAGGGTTTCATGCAGGAGGTGTTTCTTATCTGCGATTACTCTGAGAAATGACTTAATTAGCCAGCAACACTTTGAGACTATCGGTAATAGTACAAGTATATATTGCATATGTACTACGGGGGTATCTCTAGTACATCCCAGAATTACTCTCTTTGTTTCCTTCTGAATGCGTTCGTTTCAACAGCTGACTCTTTGATTTAATAAGCATTCCAAGTCCATAATCTATCACCGACAGGATCGAATGCTGGAACATTGCGAACAACATTCTTTGTCCCATATGCATTGATGTCATAACCTTAAGTGCACGGAGTACTTTTTGTCATTTCGCTGCAACTGCCTCCATATGATCCCTGAAGGACAGGCTTCTATCGAATGTGACACAAAGGTACCTCAGTTTGCTTTCTCTTTTGATGTTTAAATCGATAATTGTGAGACCCGGAAGATCAACTCTTACTATTTTATTGTCCAGGAAGCACCATAAAACAGCCATATTTTCTAGGTCGATGACAGCACCAACTTCTGCACACCGGTCAGTCAGTCTAGTTACCTGTAGTTCTTGGGCTGTCTGATGCCTATAGCTCTTGGGCTGTCTGTTGCCTATAGCTCTGGGGCTGTCTGTTGCCTATAGCTATTGGGCTGTCTGTTGCCTATAGCTCTTGGCCTGTCTGTTGCCTATAGGTCTTGGGCTGTCTGTTGCCTATAGCTATTGGGCTGTCTGTTGCCTATAGCTCTGGGGCTGTCTGTTGCCTATAGCTCTGGGGCTGTCTGTTGCCTATAGCTCTGGGGCTGTCTGTTGCCTATAGCTCTTGGGCTGTCTGTCGCCTATAGCTCTTGAGCTGTCTGTTGCCTATAGCTCTTGGCCTGTCTGTTGCCTATAGCTCTTGGGCTGTCTGTTGCCTATAGCTCTTGGGCTTTTGCCTGTCGCTTGATACCATCGTATGTTAGAACAAATGTGAACAACGAAGCTCTTGACATCATTAAAATGTGTCCCAGTCAAACGTGAAGCAGTATGCAGGGTGTCGTCTGCTAAAGTCATTCTTTGCACTCAAAACATAATGTCTCATCAACGGAATAAAGAATTTGTGTTGTTGTTGTTGTTGTTGAACTATTCAAGAAATAACAACAGACACGTTGCAGAAGGAATTCGACAATAAGAAGAGACGTGTACAATCATGTCTTGAAGTCCGTGATATGTTGAATGTTGAATTAGGAATCGACATCACAGCACTCGGGACATCCCTATAAGCGGTCTGTGCCATCTTCAGCAGCAAGCGAAGATTTCCAATTCCGATGGCACCAGTCATCATCATCAGGTGCCTTGCCGACTGGCGTGGGCCTCTCCATAATCCGCGATCTCCTGCAGCATGTATCAGTTCGTGTGCCGACACACCTCCATGCCATGCAACAAGACTGTCAAGCATCTTCTCTCGTTGTCTTCCTCTATCCCTCCTTCCACAGATCTTTCCAGTGGTCACAACATGTTCTATTTTCCCTCTTCTCATAACATGGCCAAAAAATGATGACTGTCTCCTTCTGATGTCAGTGATAAGTTGTCTTCGGGCTCCCGCCTCTTTTAAAACCTCTTGGTTGCTCTTTTTAGCTGTCCAAGGTATTCTAAGCATTCTTCTGTAAAATCACACCTCTGTGGCCTCCAAAAATTGTTTGGCCTGCCTACCGATTGTCCAGGATTCACATCCATATGTTAAAACTGGATGTATGTAGCAAGCAAGAATTCTTTTTCTAACTCTCAATGACAAGGATATATTGCACAAGATGTTTTTCATTTTATAAAATGAAGTTTTTGCCTGTCCAATTCTGTTTCTTATTTCAGTTATGCATCTTCCATCTGATGTTATCCATGTGCCCAGATACTTAAATTTCTGTACTTGTCTTAAAATAACATCATTGACTTTTATTACACATTTAGGAATAATAATAATAATATGAGAATCAACACTGAAAAGACAGAAGTAATGTCAATAGGAAAAAAGAAGACAGATCTAAACATAACAATAGAATACAAAGGCATTAAACAGGCATCTGAGTTTAAATATCTGGGAACTACATTTACCGAAGATGGGAAATTGGATAAAGAAATTGACATTAGATGCAGTAAAGCAAACCGAGTATTGGGACAGCTAGCCCCCCTCTTACAGCATAAGACAATCCCAATCAGCACAAAGAGACATCTTATTCAAAGCATATTTATTCCAACTCTGTGCTACCAGTGCCAGACATGGTCACTCACAACAAACCATAAAAGAAAATTAGTAACCACGGAAATGAGATGTCTGAGAAGGGCTGTAGGAGTGACCATAAGAGATAAGATCAGAAATGAGATCATAAGAGAACAAGTCGGCACAGAACCAATTCTGGATTACATACAAAGACAGCAAGTGAAATGGTTTGCCCACTTAGAGAGAATGCCTTGTGACACCATACCATACAAAGCATAAATGGGAAGAGAAGAAGGACGTAGAGCACGGGGTAGACCAAGAACAAGATGGAAGGATAACATCAGAGAAACTCTACAACAGCACGATGTGCCTATGGTCGAGGCAGCCAGAAGAGCTAGAAACAGAACCTTATATCTCCCTCGACACCCACAGCGGTAAAAGAGGAAGTGAAGAAGAAGAAGAAGAAGAAGAAGGAATAATTTGTTTCTTTGATACCACCATTACTTCTGTCTTCCCATTATTCAAACTGAGGCCCATTCTTCCACTTTCTAACACCACAATGTCTATCATTTCCTGTAATTCTTTCTGACTTGTTGCTATCAAGACTGTGTCATCAGCATAACGTAAATTGTTTATATTGTGCCCACCAACCACGATTCCGGGCATATCAATTAAAGATCTCATAATATATTCACTGTATATTGAAAACAAATCAGGTGAAAGTACACATCCTTGTCGTACGCCCCTCTTTATGCTTTGAAATGTACCTAAACAGTTGTTAATTCTTATAGCTGCTGTTTGCTGCCAATACATATTCTTTATTATTCTTAGATCTTTCCCAATGTTTAATTTTTCTAACAGTTTGATTACTTCTTCATGCTTCACACAGTCAAGTGCTTTTGTATAGTCTATGAAGCATAAGTACGAATCAGTCTTTACTTCTATAGCTCTTTCTGACTATGTCCTTAGGATGTATATGGCATTGTTTGTACCTTTTCCTTCTACAAATCCACATTGTTCATCGCTGATTCCTGGTTTAATTTTGTTTCTTATTCTTCTCATAATTATTCTCAGTAAAATCTTAGTCATGTGACTCATAAGACTTATTGTGCGATGGTCTTCACATTTTAAAGTGCCTGGTTTCTTCGGCAGAGCTATAAATATGGATTTTAACAGGTCATTTGGAATATACCCACTGTTATAAATATCATTTAAAAGTTTAGTTATTATTTCAATTCCAAAATTTTCCAGTGCTTCGATTTCTTCCAGTGAGATGTCTGGCCCGGGTGCTTTTCCTTTCTTCATATGATGTATTGCATCCTCAACTTCTGCAGTAATTATTGGTGGACCATCATTGTTGGTCTGTAGTTCTACGTCTGGTCTATTATCATCATACAATTCCCCTATATACTCTGTCCATCTGTTAATTATATTACTATGTTCCTTTTAATAAGTCACCATCCTTTGATTTCAAACATCCAGTGCTGTTACGTGTCATCTTTCCTGTTAACATATTTATCTGTTGGTACATGGAATGTGAGTCTTTCCCGTGATTTTCCCCAATCTCTGTACACATTTGATTCAGCCAGGCTTCTTTAGCCACTTTGCATTTGTTCACTATTTCTTTTTGTATTCTAGAGTATTCTTCTTAATCATTCTTTTTCTTCCTTCTTTCATCCATCAACTGCAGAATTTCGGTTGACATCCATTTCTTTTTTGCAACTGTATGGGTTGGTGGGATTGTCTCTTTTGATGTCTGCTGAATTGACTCACGCAACATATCCCACTGTTCATCAATAGTCTGTATAATTTCCATTGCATTATACCGGTTTTGTACAGTGACGTTGTACTGTTCCTTAATTTCTTTATCCGTTCTAAGAATTCCTAAATTTAACTTGATGTTCTGTGGTGTTTTTCTAATGTTCTTTAGTTTTATTCTAATTTTTCCTACAACTGGAACATGGTCACTAAAGCAGTCTGCCCCTGGTCTAGTTTTTGCTCCAACTAAGCTGCTCTGGAATCTTCTTGAAATCAAAATATAATCAATCTGATTGCGAACATTATCACCAGGACTTTTCCAAGTCCACAATCTTCGAGGATGGTGTTTAAACCAGGTGTTACCTTTTATCATGCTGTGCGACTCAGCCCATGCTATTAATCTGTCACCTCTCACATTCTTTTCTCCTAGGCCATAGCCACCTGTTATTCCGTACACTTTTTGACTTCCTACTTTCGCGTTGAAATCTCCAAGTACCATTGTTACTTCACAATTTTTGCATTGATCAACAGCCATGTCTAACTCATCATAAAATGCTTCAATGTCTTCCTCTGAACTATCTGCTGTTGGGGCATAAATCTGTACTAAGTTGATGTCAAACGGTCTGCCGCGAAGTTTTACTAATAGTACTCTATCTGATATTGTCCAAAATCCTTTAACAGTTTTTGAGTTCTTTGGATCCAAAATAATACCAACTCCCTTACTATATTCCCTCCCACCCGAGTAGATAATTATGTGATGATCTGAATACTTTTCCCCTGCTCCTGGCCATCTCATTTCACTAATTCCTAGTATGTTGATGTTCATTCTCTTCATTCTGATTATTTTTTCTGTCTTGCCTCTCCTTTAGTGTTGAGCGCCGAATAGATCCCCTTGTAACTCCTCGCAGCGCCATTCTTCCAACAACTGTTACACTGAACATTTCAGTGGTACTTACCCGCTTTCCAAAAACAGCGGCAGACTTTGCAGTGACTATTTTAACTGATTTAGTTAATTCGTTGAATAAACAAACACTAAAAGACAGTGACTATTTTAACTAATTTAGTTTATCCGTTGAATAAACAAATAATAAAAGACAGTGACTATTTTAAATAGTTTAGTTTATCCGTTGAATAAACAAACAATAACAGACAGTGACTATATTAACTAATTTAATGATCTTTTTAACAATATTTTTTGACGACGTAATGCAATTTCTTTTTCAAATTTGTTCTGCATGCGATGTGTAGCGACACTTTGCAAACTCCCTCTATTTGCTAGTGTACAGACATAACTCGTGTTCTAAAATTACTTACTGTAAGCTGCAGTTTCTTTCTGTGAGAGCAGTGCCTCTGAGGGGTGTGCTGTCCGATAGGTTTAGCACAAAGAAAGATATATTTGCCTACAAAGGTAAACTAATAAGAACTGTTTATTGGCCACTTTATGCGGCCAGTGCCAAACAGAGACATTGCACTAAAAATACATCAAAAGAAAACGGCATTTGTAAAACATATGAACTGTTTGAGACTCCTGCAGATTATCCGGCCCTAAAGCTATATATAGCTCAGTTAGTTTATGTATTACTCCATAATACACAATACATACGCAGTTGGAAATCAAAAAAAGAGTGGCCTAACGGCGCTGCCAGGGCAAAATTTGGAGTTACAAATCTATCTAAAGTTTTCAGAAACCTCGCCGATGCAACAGAGCTCGTGCACTGCGCTGAGATTCTTCGGACTCAGGCTAGAGTTAAGAAGAAGAACAGAGCACTTATGGGTTACCACCTGTGTGACACGATGTTGAACCTTTGAATAGACATAATTAACATAAAACTTACTCCAGCACTGGGGTGATGCTGGCGTGGACACCAGACAGTCCTGAACCCCGAGTGCCCACATAGGAAACTTGTAAGCTGAGGTTGGGGATGTGAGGGGATGTTAGCCTTGCCCTCGTATCCACTCCCCGGAACTCTTCCTCCTCATTATCACCATCATTACAGTCATCTTCATTCATAGACTAGACAGCACGTACCACCTACCTCCCCAACAACGTCTACAACTCGGCAACCACCACTTTCATGCTGGCTTTATAATCCGGGCGTCCCTCGGGTTTGCCCAGGTGGGACATCAGCACCACAGACCTGGCGCCTTTCTCTAGCGCGAACCTCACCGTGGGCAGCGTGGCGACAATCCTGCTGACACAGATGGCAAAAACAGACTCTGGGTGTGGTACATGTTCGTTTTTTCATTACCAAGTTTTTGAGTGTACTTTTTCATAACATGTCAAACACACACACACACACACATGCATATATATATATATATATATATATATATATATATATATATATATATATATATATATATATATATATATATATATATATATATATATATATACATATATACATAAGTAAAAAAGTAAAGGACCCTTTCCACGCCTTAAGGCTTATAGGGCATATAGGGCTAGACCTATATTTTTATAGACCAATCGGCACAAGATGGATGATGTGGTCAGCATCACACCCGCCGCCTTCACTTTCCCGGGACTGCACCCGGTACCCACTCAAGGCTGGGTCGACCTGGGAGCCAAGGTTATTTTTGAAATAAGTCCGGCTCCGCCTGGGAGCGTACCCACGACCTTCAGATCCGCGGCCGAGCGTCTAGCCGCTCGGCCACGGTGACTCCCATATATATACAATACATAAAACACTGCAGCTCCTAGAGCTCGTCTGTTTCTCCAAGTGCACAGTTGCAGTGATGTTCTTTGCCATCCTCCTTGATATGTAGACGCTCTGTATCTATGGGTACCACTTGCCCTCTGCTAAAGCGGCATAAGCTCGTCTAAGGTTTGATCACTCTGGGTTAGCATCATGTTCCTCAACTGGACGGTATTGTTGAACCGAAACCACAACTGCTGCGCAGGGACAGATACAACTTCTACACAGTGTCAAACAGAGCGAATGTTCTCTCTCACTTCTGTTAGTACAGTTTCTCAACGTACATATTTTGCTAGCAATCACAGCGAAACAATCATACAGATCATGTAGGCTATATTCTACAGTACAAGACGGAGGTCACAGGTGAAGAGCATTGTCTCGAACTTTTCTGCTGTGTATCCCGGTGGGCTAAGGAATGAACAGGCGGACGGACTGACTGGTTCCGCACAACTTGGTGAAATACTGAAGCATGATAACGCAGACGTGATTAAGGTCTTATGGGAGCACGTGTACAATTCGGAACAGCAAACTGACCATCAGTCTGTGAGAGTGATGCATCGAGGAGTGACGAGGGAATTTGGCCGATACTGGACACTGATGAAAATCAAGCCGGACGTATAATCAGACTGCGACTGGCATCATTGAAATTGGAACTGCGCTGGCTGCTGAAGATGGGGACAGACCGCTTATGGGTATACCCTGAGTGCTGTGATGTCGGTTTAGCTCAACTCCACAATACAACCGCCTTCTTCGACTTCTGGTTCACGGCAGACCACGAGATAAGTTCTCGTCTTTCCTTGGTTTATGAGGCCTTTGGTATTCCGTACCGCACGTATTCTTGCCCCTGGGTTAACACTCAAAACAAGGTCATCACAGCATTAAAAAACTCTGAAAAGCAGTGCTTATCTCTTTCTACACATAAGTGAGCTACATAAGTTAGTTTCCTGTCCTTTATAGCAAGTTGCAGCACCTGTCCTAGCACTTTTTTTGCTGTTGTGGTTTTTCTAGGAAAATGTTTATCTCAGTGGTTTGCAATTGCGCTGAATGGTCAGCTCTCTGTTCCAGTGACGAAATCACCGCAAGACGTTCTGCTGCCAAACTGCCTGCAGCTGGGATCAAACCCGACAACCCGGCATTACGAAGCTGGTTCGCTACGTCTAAGCCACAATAGATTCTCATTTCAACCACATGGGTTCACATTTAAAAAAAGAATGAGAATTAGGGAGTGATTCCTACTTCTGTAAACAACTTTTTTTTTTTTTGGGGGGGGGGGGGGGGGAACGGCACGCGTTTAAATATAATCTGTGTCCGTCCAGAGAAGCCGGAATCTGCAGAATAAGACATACAAATAGACAGACACACGGTGACAGTACTAGAAGTAAACAGAAACACAGTGACAGTACTAGAAGTAAACAGAAACACAGTGACAGTACTAGAAGTAAACAGAAACACAGTGACAGTACTAGAAGTAAACAGAAACACAGTGACAGTACTAGAAGTAAACAGAAACACAGTGACAGTACTAGAAGTAAACAGAAACACAGTGACAGTACTAGAAGTAAACAGAAACACAGTGACAGTAATAGAAGTAAACAGAAACACAGTGACAGTACTAGAAGTAAACAGAAACACAGTGACAGTACTAGAAGTAAACAGAAACACAGTGACAGTACTAGAAGCAGACAGACACACGGTGACAGTACTAGAAGTAAACAGAAACACAGTGACAGTACTAGAAGCAGACAGACACACAGTGACAGTACTAGAAGTAAACAGAAACACAGTGACAGTACTAGAAGTAAACAGAAACACAGTGACAGTACTAGAAGTAAACAGAAACACAGTGACAGTACTAGAAGTAAACAGAAACACGGTGACAGTACTAGAAGTAAACAGAAACACAGTGACAGTACTAGAAGCAGACAGACACACGGTGACAGTACTAGAAGTAAACAGAAACACAGTGACAGTACTAGAAGCAGACAGACACACGGTGACAGTACTAGAAGTAAACAGAAACACAGTGACAGTACTAGAAGCAGACAGACACACAGTGACAGTACTAGAAGTAAACAGAAACACAGTGACAGTACTAGAAGTAAACAGAAACACAGTGACAGTACTAGAAGTAAACAGAAACACAGTGACAGTACTAGAAGCAGACAGACACACGGTGACAGTACTAGAAGTAAACAGAAACACAGTGACAGTACTAGAAGCAGACAGACACACAGTGACAGTACTAGAAGTAGACAGACACACAGTGACAGTACTAGAAGCAGACAGACACACAGTGACAGTACTAGAAGTAGACAGACACACAGTGACAGTACTAGAAGTAGACAGACACACAGTGACAGTACTAGAAGTAAACAGAAACACAGTGACAGTACTAGAAGCAGACAGACACACAGTGACAGTACTAGAAGCAGACAGACACACGGTGACAGTACTAGAAGTAGACAGACACACAGTGACAGTACTAGAAGTAGACAGACACACAGTGACAGTACTAGAAGTAGACAGACACACAGTGACAGTACTAGAAGCAGACAGACACACAGTGACAGTACTAGAAGTAGACAGACACACAGTGACAGTACTAGAAGTAGACAGACAAACAGACAAACACACGGTGACAGTACTAGAAGTAGACAACATACCTGTGATTGTTTACAATCTTCCCGTCCTTCACTGGCACATTGAAATCAGCCCTGGTTGGCATAAATGGAAGCAGCAATATAAGTATAAATATAAACAAAAAATATACTTATAAATACCATATATATATATATATATATATATATATATATATATATATATATATATATATATATATACACACATACACACACACGCTTAAATATTTATAAACGTATACATTATTGTATACATACAAATTAACAAAAGTATGTATAAAAATATACATTAAAATATACAATAAAATATATGTACATATGTGCAAACAAATATGCATACATTAAAAAAAATATTCATACGCGTGTACTTAAATATATTTAAACGGATAATCATAAACATAAATGAGCACAGAAATCATTTTCATCATCATTCCGAGCCCTTGAGGTTTATTGCTGCTGAAATCACCTGCCTTCATTTATCTCCGTGATTGGCCTTCTCTGTCCAGTTAATTTTTCAATGCAGTAATTAAGGAGGGTGTTTACATGAGGTTTTCCCACAAACAATCAAAAAACATCCCTACCCTCACCCAAATGAGAAGAGAAGAATATCTACACTAAGCCAGTTTAATAGAATACAAAACCCGCATCTCCGCTAGTATAAATTATCAATCTATTATTGATTATTATCTACCCCTATCACCTAAATAAATCAATACACCACACCCCATTTGTGATCAGGAACACACACGCACGCACACACACACACACACACACACACACATATATATATATATATATATATATATATATATATATATATATATATATATATATATTTATATATATTCTTCTTTTCTTCACTCCTGGAATGCCTCACGGCGTCAGGGCAGAAATAAATCTTTGGAACGGGCCCTTCTGGTAACCAATGCTCAATCTAGGAGCCGGTTGAAGGAGGCACGAAGTTTTTAGTTTTTTTTTTTCGCACATCAAGTATCAAGGGCCCCCTTCTGTTCGCTTAGTAGAAACTACTTGTGAGTGTTTCTGACATTTCTGCGGTCGATCTAATGATTGAAAAATGTCCGTTTCCTGTCGAATTTGAGTACATGAGCCTCGGATCCTCATGCGAATGTCTAGCTGCTACAACATGGCGGCTCTGTTTAATATGTAAAATAATAAGAGACTTTTTTCCCCGCCTTCATGCGTATTGGGTATATAGGGCTAGACCTATTTTTTTATAGACCAAACAGCCCTTGGTGGGTGATGTGGTCAGGCCAGTCGCATTTACTTCCCGGACTGTACCACGCACCCACTCAAAGCTAGGTCGACCTGCGAGCAAAGTTCATTTGAAAAAAAAAGTCCCGCTTCCCTCAGGACCCGAACCCACGATCTTCAGATGCGCAGGCGAGCGTCTAGCCGCTAGACCCCAGCGGCTCCCTCTACTCAATATGTGACAAATCAAAATACAATGAAACTATGATAATTATGCGCAATTTTCGCACCTGATCAGAATTCGCTTTTCTCTTAGGTCCACCTGATCAATGGTTAACTTGTTCCGACTGGCAAAAAGGTTCTGTGAACGTTAATAAACACACACATAAATTGGTGGGGAAGCCGTAGAAACTATACAATAAATAGATTTTCATCGACTGATTGGCGCTTGAAGAAAGAAGTAGAGAAACAAAAGGATACACTCTACTACATAACAAACGAATGTTATAGTTACCACCACCGCCGCCGAGGGGATTATTAGGTCCTCGGACAAGGCTAATAAGCCGCCCCCCCCCCCCCCCCAGCTAGCTACACAAAGAAAGATATAAAACCGAACGAAAAGTATGTCATCCAGCTTCACAATATAATAATGTCACTGTACATGCATTCTGAGTGTCTCATCTGAGCATCTGAGAAGAAACACTGAATATAAACTATGGCTAAGGCTTGGTTTAGAGTTTTAACAACTGATCAACATCATGGCACACGGGTAGTAACCTATAAGTGCTCCGTTCTTCTTCTAACTCAAGACTGAGTCCGAAGAAGCGCAGGTTAGTGCAGAGGCTCTGTAGAACCGGCAAGGATCCTGAAATACTTTGGGTAGATTTTCAACTCCAAATTTTTGCCTGGGCAGCGCCGTTAGGCTACTCTTTTCGATTTCTAACTGAAAAGGGGATTTTTTTTTTCGTGCGCAGCAGTGCACACGCGCGTCCGATCTCACTACCTAGAGACCAGGGGGATTTACTAGAAGTCCACGTGAAAAATATCCCAGCCCTTACCGGGGACTGAACCCAGAACATCTAGCACTCGAGGCGGAAACCATACCTCGAGACCACGCAGCTCCCCAAATGATAGCAACAACGGTCATGAAATTGCACGGTATATTTCTGGAACTCTTCTTAACGCAGCCGAGGTCTTGCTAGTCACACTCGCTATCGCCATGGACTGTGAATCCCATGCCTCCCCAAAGCACAGTATAGCACTATCTTCTGGGGGACGGAAAGGTGGCAAACAGTATTATTTATTAATTACATTCAAACATACTTGTATCAAAAAAAAAAGAGGACAGGTATTGCTGAAAAAGATACAGCAACTATAAAAAACATTTGAAAATAATCAGTAATGCACCAAAATAGATTAGCAATGAATATAATACTTTAACAGTTCTGGATGACTAGATCATAATAGTTATTATAATTTAGATGTAATTGTTTTTATATTCTGCTAAACAAATGTACTTTCCAAGCCTTTTCTTTTTCTTGTAAAAATTTTTTTTTTTTTTTTTTTGTAAACACTGTCCCCTTCAGGGAACCCCTTTTAGTTCTATGGGTCCCCCTTTTATTTCCATGTACTGGCTGTACCTCCCTCTCCTCAGCCAGGTTAGCGAGCCGGAATCGAACCTGTCTTCCCCAAATGACGACAGCGCCAGCTGCTAGAACAAGTTTATTGGGGATGTATAAGCACTTCTGAGGTGTCATCAGTAATCTACTCTTCCACACAAACTGATCCTACATATATGGGCAGATTCGTTTGTGTTGTCTAGTGTAATCTTTTGTGAACGAGAGGTTATCACATTGGGGACGTCGCGTCTGCTTTAGCAGTTTCACAAACTAGCAATGGCATGTTTTAAATGTAACATTTGAATGCTGGTTAAGTTTAAATGGCACACTATGTGTGTGTGTGTGTGTGTGTGTGTGTGTGTGTGTGTGTGTGTGTGTGTGTGTGTGTGTGCATGCGTGTGGATGCGTATGTGCATGAGTGCAGTGCTCGCGTTTGTGTGTGTAAGTTGTCTGTAATATTTGCGTGAGTAATTGTGGCGGTGGTGGTAGCAATAATTGCAGTTTAGAACAAGTGGTAGTTGGGGCAACAGCAGTAGGAGGGGAAGTCGTACAGTAGTAGTAGTAACCTTATTGGCTGAAGTATCAGCAGTTTCAGTAGTACTAGCAGCAGTAGTAGTGTTAGCAGTTAGTAGCAACAGTAGCAGAAACGTGCACAATTATTATTATTAGTAGTATTTTTTTAGCAGTAACAGTAGTCGTCCGGCAGCAGCAGCAGCAGAAGCAGCATTAGGAAGAGAAGCATTTGTAGCACTACTAGTAATGGCTATCACTTATACACCTCCCCTCCCCCCCCCCCCAACCTGTCGTCAACACTTCTCATAACTGTTTTTGTATTAACCAGCATTTTTCATTGAATGTTACAGGAATGAGTCCAGGATTTGACCGGGACAATGTCCCAATTATGAAACATCCGGAGGAGAATGCAGAGGCAACGTTCTTTGGACACATTTTTAGTACAAGTAAAATCTGGTGAAACTCAACAAGGTCCAGGAAGTGAAAGCAGACAGAAGTAGGAATAGCAGCAGCAGCAGCAGCAGTAAGAAAAGTATTATTTGCAGCAGCACTAGTAACAGCTGTCATGTGAATATCCCCCATCCCATTTTTCAAAGTCGTTAACACTTGTCCACACATAACTGTCTTTAGATTTATCAATAAACGTATGGTGCGTTGCATGGTACAGGACGAGTTACGGTTGGGGTCAGGAACTATCCAACAGATGCTAACCACTCTGGACCTCTGAAGCGACGCGAGCCACTGTACACTGAGCCTACCTGTCCTAGCCTATCGCCGCCTGCGTTGCCAGTCAGTTACAGTCACGACATGTGTGTGGATACCTATCAAAGTGATTTTATAGGATAGAGCGGAACGGAAGAGTAGACTGCGAGCCTTGTGTGACACACAATGAGACAATATAATGATGATAGTGGAGTGGGCTCTATGGTCTAGAGGCATGAAGCCTGCCTCAAGTGCTCGAGGTCCCGGATTCAGATCCCGGTAAAGGGTGGGATTTTTTCACGTGGACACTTCTAGTAATTTTCCCTTGTCTCTGGGTAGTAAGATCGCTCGCGTGTATTGTTGCCCAAGTAAAAATCCCTTGCTAGTTGGAAATCGAAAAGAGTTGCCTAGCGGCGCTGCCTTGACAAAATCTGGAGTTAAAAATCTATCCAAAGTATTTCAGGATCCTCGCCGGCGCTATGAGGATGCTCTGAGATTCTTCGGACTCAGGTTTGAATTAGAAGTAGAACTGAGCACTTATGGGTTACTACCCTGGTGACATGATGTTGGTTCGCTGTATAGACTAAACCAGTGGAGACTACAACTTATACTTACATCGTACGCTTTGGTCGACCATTTCGGCTCTAGCAGTTTCACTCCCACCTCTACGTTCGTTGATTTTTTAGCTACGATACTCTCATGTTTTGATCCCAGCATGTCTTCGGCGACTATATCCTTTCGTCCACACAAAATCGATTTTCTAAATATAACGCTATGCGCCTTAGCGGTGTTAACTGGTAAATAAAAAGGTCGAAGCCGAAACTTTCAGAATATTTTTTCTGTTTCTTAGACTACTGTTAAAATGTGGGTCTTCTAAATAACCCAACTAGACGATGTGTAGACTAGATCGCGAGACGTTGCCTTTCACAGACTGCTTTTGTCTTCTTTGTTGCTGTTTCTTGGTGGTTCTCTTGATCTCTTTTCTCGTTAAACAGGTGATTAATGTTGTAAGCTCTGTTGGACCAAGGGCACCTTTTATTCCGGAATATAAATCACTTTACATTGACTGGAGATAGTTACTGGTGTAAGTGTCATTTTACCAAACCTTGGAGCTAGTCTGTCAAAGTAGACATCATATCTGTAATGCAGGAAGAGAAGCGGAAATTTCAGCCTTAAATAAATTGTGCAGGAATTTCATTATAACAAACAATTGCTAAATATTTAGTGATGGGCAGTCAGTGCATTGCACGGTTCTGAACGTAGAGGTTACTGATAGCGTTTCCTCGACCTACCAGTGCTCGAGTTTCCCCATGGGCGATTTAGAAAAAAAGACAGTTTCTGTAACTTTCTGAAACTGGTACGAGAGTCGCACCATGAAAGAGGTTGGGGGTCTAGCTTTTAATATTTCAAAAAATATTAGGGGTAACACATATTGATTCAAGCCAACATTTATTGCAGACGGAGCAAAGATTAAAAATTATTTCAGTTAGTACTAAAGTGGCAAACACTGAAATATTAATGAGACCATCATTAAAGATTGCAATGAAAGTTAGACCATCACTAAAGATTGCAATGAAAGTTAGTTAGACCATCACTAAAGATTGCAATGAAAGTTAGTTAGACCATCACTAAAGATATGAAACGAAAGTTGAAAGGACAGGTAAACAAAAGCCTAAGGATAGCTGAGCTGAGTTAAGTTGAGTCAAGAAATTGACATCACAGCACTCGGGGCATTCCCATGTGTACTCCGTCCTGATCTTCAGCAGCCAGCGCAGTTCCAATACTGATGGTACCAGTCACAATCTGGCCATATGTCCGTCTTGCCTTTCCTCTGAGTGTAGTGAGCCAGTCAGACCCTCTGGTTACACTCTTGTGCCTTATTCTCTCCATGCCATAATAACCTTCTTTCTCTACTGATTCCGTTGCTTGTTCCCAAAGGGCCTTGACCACATCTGCCTTGTCATTTATCAATTCACCACCCAGTGGTGCAGATCCAGTAAATCTGTCTGCCTGTTAAGCCTAAGGATAGTGACGAATATTAAGCTGGTTTAACTGAAGACAGGTCAGGAAATAAGAGACATGCCTGGACAACTGGTATTATCAACAGTTATTGACAACGAAAAAATAGCGATATACAGGGTCCATCCTGAGCCAAAGTGAGCATAGGATCGTGAAGCCGATACAGAAGTGGGACACAAATGAAATGAAGAAAAGAGGACGTGCCAAATAACCCATAAGACGAACGTTGATGAGAGAGTCCAAAGGTGCAGGACTGGATTCATCAATGACACTGTAAGTTACACGGAAAGAACCGAGTAGGAGAATAAACTGCAGAAGAGGAGGATGGTGAAAATGAGTAGCAGTTCCTTTTCAGCTAGCTGTTTTGAGTGCCCTTTGGGAGCGAGTGAACAGTGTGGAGACACAAATAGATCATTACGGACTGAGGAGAATGACGCAGGGGGTAGTAAACAGTCAAGGGAAAGCTGAGACGTGTGTACAATTAGACATTTACTGATACCTTAGGAGTTGGAACTCTTCGCTTGCTACTGAAGATGTGGGCGGAGCGATTATAGGAGTGTCTTGTGTGCTATGATGTCAATTCTTAATTCAACATTCACGCCAAATAGCTGAGCACATGGCAGAAATTGCCAGATCGTCATACAGTACAATATATATATATATATATATATATATATATATATATATATATATATATATATATATATATATATATATATATATATATATATATTTTTAAAGGACAGGAAAGAAAAAAAGAATTTGAAACACAGACTCCAGTTTCGGTATATCCAGTGTTTTACACATGCGCAGGGGGCAGCCATCAGACGTGCCAACCCAAACAGTCCGCCACCATAATTGCAGTGAGTCATCGTAGATGGCAGCAATAGTTGATTAAATGAGCAGTTACACATGCACCATTCCAGAAAGAGAATTAAAAAGTATAACTGAAGAAATATACAGAAGCACATTACTCGTAACTGACTGCCGGCTCTGGTCGCATGAAGTCTAACGTTCGTCGCTAGCCAAATACCGCGTTCTCTACTTGATGACATCTGCCGGAAGTGCCCACAGTGTGGTGGGTCAACACACACACACCGTGCTAAATGGTGCATCATCATCATCATGTCTTCTTCCTCCTTCTTTTGTCAAACATTAGTATGGGAACTCTTTGTTGGCTACTGGGGACGGTGATGGAGCACCTATGGGAATAGTGCAGTCAGTTCTTGAATAATTCATTGATTTTTCAGTCGTCACTGCATTTAGACGGCCCTTCTTCACACTATCGTCTGGAAATACAACGCCCTTGCTAATTCCTTTTACTTATAATTTTACCTTTTTATTCTCGTGAATGTGAAGGCAGTACCCATTGCATTACTTTCCACGGGGTAAGGGGCATAATGCTGTTGAAGACTGAGCAGAGTTATTCGTCTTTACTTCCCCCAGTTACTTATTCGAGGTGTTCCAGGACAACGTTTCTCAAACTATATACACCCGCGACCCTCCAAAACTGGGGATAGAATTGTCGTGGCCTATCTGACTGCTAACCAAACACAAAAGTAAAACAAATTAGATGGCAGTTTATTTGTTAAATCCGATGTCACACAATGAAAGTTTTCAGGTAAGGTGACAACTCCTGCTGCTTAGAGATTACACGATATTATATAGGTGGCTGGAGCGTTAATTCTGACAGACAAAGCACTGCAAAAGTTTTTCAAATATGGCAGTGAGGGAGATTTAAAAATTTCATTAGAATTTTACTAGCACAAGAACGGACCAAGTAGGGAGTGACCCAATTGCAGCGAAGTTGAAACCTTGACTAAGACATAGACTTTAATGCTGCATATTGCATATAATCTGGTGACCGTGTGGCAGAAGTTGCAGGAGATGATAAAGGAGAAAAAAGCTTGGAATGAGTTTGTTGAGGGTAAATGCTCCTGTTGTGGTTTAATATCATGTAGCAGTTCCTTTACAGAACCTCATTCTTATATTCCCATTAAGGCATGCCTGATGTCATCTGCCCATGTTTGTACTGGTCGTGCCCTGCCC